ATTTCTCGCCGTAATGGCCGCCGACATAACCGGTGGTCGTGTCGTCGATGGGCTCGAAGTCGTGGGACTCAGTCTTCCAGTAGAAGACGTGGACGCCCTGGAAGGCGATCATACGGGGAAACTGGAACCGCTTGTCGTCCATATGGCCGTCGTTGAAGGCGCAGTCGAAGCCATACTTCGGCAGCCCCTCCCACGCCCAACCCTTTGCGCCGCCGACCAGTTGTTGACCCTTTGGGTCCCATTCCCAGCGAAAGGTGCCCTCAAACTTGAACGTATTGCCGGAGTGGGAACCGTTGACAAGTGTCATGATAGTGGTGTGTCGTGTGACGGGCGCCATATACTTCTCGGTGATGGGAAACGGTCCGAGTGTCTGGCCTTTGCCCGGCAGACCCGTCACTTCCCACCAGTGGTGGTCTCGATATACTCTGTATGTGTTGTTTGGCAACCGATTGGCCGAATGGATGGCTCCGTTCTCACACAGAGACGGCACTGTCGATGGCTTATCACCCGTTGTCACCGCTGTTGTGATAATGACACTGAATGCCATCAATAGGTATGTAATTGTGGTCATCGTTGAAGAAGTCGTTTGAGAATCAAATCAATTAACTATCACTTAATCGTTTGAATTTAAATAAATAGGAAATACATTTCACGAGATTTTTGACATTTAATTGTTTTGATTATGTTTTGCATTATGTGTATCAAAATGATAACTACATCGGGATTAACAACAATCAAATGTTTAATGAATTGCTTCGAGTCTTTCAATACAATAAATATAAGCATTATTTTCAAAGTTATGGACCACTTGTCAGACAATTATACGATTATTATTATGATTAACACTAATTGTAATTCAAAATTATATTTAAATTGAATATACTGTAAATCACTAGCAATTGAATACCAATTAACTATTAATAGCGCCGTAAAGCGTATGAAATGATAATAAAAAAGTTAAAACATTTGTCAAAGTTTTGTGTAAATTTTATTGAGTTTTTTTGAAAACTTTTTAAATTAAAACATAAACTCCTTTGAGATTAAAACACTGGAAAAGATTGCAAATTACTTTTGGCAGAAATCACTTGATATAAGTCTTGTAATCAATTATTTTGATTGAGTACTTCTCTTTCGTCTTCTTTTCTCATTTGGTTCGCTGTCTTGACTCACTTCTGGATTTGATTTCTTGGAATTCTTCTTCAACTTCTTGTATGCGTTCGCGAAGTCTTCGACATCTGTTTTGAGCCAAAAATAAATTAAAAAACACAATATTATGGCAATAGAGAGGGGAAAGGGAGGCAATACCTCCAGCATTGGCCGCATCGACACATTCCTGTCCCAAACCAAACTCCTGGACCACTGGACCCAACTGTCGGGACCGGATAGCGGCCGACAGATCATTGGCTGGACTCAGACCACTACTAGTGCTGGCGGGCAATGACTGGCGGACCCGACATAGGAAACGATCGTCAGTAAGCAACGGCCGCAACTCATCGGAGGACAGACAGTGTATAGTGTGAACGTCTTGAGCCAATGGGACATCACTTTTGCTCATCTCAAGCATCACTTCGAGCCATAAATCCTTTGTCGACGCGTTTAATGCCCGCAATTCCTTCCACTCTTTGGTCTTCATTTGCTCGTAATTTGTGACCAAAAATGACCGCAAAGTCGACACGAATCGGTCGGACGGCGGCTCAGATTCGTGGCTAAACCGAGAGATAGAGAGTACATTATTTACGGTCAAGAGTTCGTCCAAACGGTTGTCGATCGCATCTTTTAGCCCTGGGATCCGATTCTTGAACGCCATTTCTGCGATCTTCTCAATGGTCTCCGCGCTTATGATTGGCACCAAATGGCGACCGATTGCGTCGACCAATCGGTTCACTCGAAAGCTTCGGGCAAAACAGAGGGCGTCGGCGATCACTCGGAGGTCACTGTCGTCGTCGAAGACCAGCTGTTCGGTGAGCATAAAGCGTAGCGTTGTTTCGACGGCACCGACAGTCACGCCATGACAGTTAAGGCCATTCATCTTCGGGCACTTCGTCGCCATCTCTCTGAAAACGACACTTCTCTCCATTAATAGGCGTCGGTTTGCGGGCAGACTCTTGCCATTGACGATGAGATTGAAATCCGATTCGCTTTTATTCAAATAGTACCACAACTCCGGATACCTGTCCTCCAAGTCGAAGGATGTCTTGGATTGCAATTCAAATCAAGTGTTAAACGAGTGGTTAATGTAATTGGGATTCCATTACCTGTTGGGCGATGTCTTCGAAACTAAATGTGAGCCCAGACTGGCCGTCGCCGCCGATCTCGTTGTCATCGCCCTCCGAGTCGTCTGAATGGCTATCCATTTGTTGAGACATCTCTTCGTCGGAGTCACCGACGGACGCGTCAATTGACTGCAAATCAAATCAATTGTCAAATTAGTGGTTCATCTATTGTGTGATACCATTACCTGATTGTCCTCTTCTTGGGATCCGTTGTCTGCCATTTAGTGTTTCAGTTGATTAGTGTTGTCTTCAAACTGACTGTTAATCTAATAAAATAACGAATAATTAGTAAAACAATTGAAAGTTTGANGTTAATCTAATAAAATAACGAATAATTAGTAAAACAATTGAAAGTTTGAATTCAAATGAAAACGTGATATAAATTACACAACAATTGGTTTGCAATTAAATGCATTTTAATTACAACTCATTTCTGTTTACATTTGTCTTGAGCTCTGGATCTGTGGGAAGTGCTCGCCATCGATGGCCACTCTATTGACTACTTCCTCATCGATCAGAAGATATGTCTGCACTCAATATAACCATCGCTGCCATTGTGTTGACACTTGTATGGGAACAGGTCTTTGACTGACGGGTGAGACAATGTATGGACACAAGTGGTCACAGAATGGGTCCGAAGAGTGTTTGCGATAGACATGAGTATCACTCGACATGTGTTTTGTGTTTCATATAATTTTTGCATAACTTTTTGTATACAAAAAACACATTAAAACTAACTATCATAACAGTTGGCCGCACTCACACTAAGGCGCACCCTCTCCCCCCTTTCTGCCCCCCATTGACTGAACGCATACAAAAGCATTCACACACACCCACAATATCATCCAATCATAAAGAGGGTGCGCCTTAGTGTGAGTGCGGCCCACTGTTAGGGCTGTAATCATTAATTCAATTGACTTTTGGTTTGCATTTCACGCGTTTTGTGTCACAAAAAGTTATGCAAAAATTATATGAAACACAAAATGTGTTGTCTTTACAGTTAGTGAACATCTATTGATATGAAAAGGGGTTAACTCTGAACACTATTAAAGCCTGTATTCAATGTCTGTTAACAGTTTTTGTTATTCAAATACTATTCAATAAAAAGTTT